AAGCTTGACGTCAAGTTTGTGCATGATGTTAATAGTATATAGCAGCAAACTTTAGTATATTTTGAACTGTTTTTAAAAAACAGCCTTAAATGGCAGAAATTATACCATTGCAAGAATCTTCAAATCTAATGACCGAAATGCGAGGATTTTTGGAGGGACCCTGAACTCTAGGGGCCTCTTAATGTTGCGTGCTCCCCCTCGACGAAATCCTGGATCCGCCCCTGTGGCTACTGCACGCTGCACAACCCCAGCAGCGTGTGGTGTGTGCTCAGCTGAGACCACGTGACTGCTATGGATCGGATGCGGGCGGGTCGACGTGGTTCACCGGCGTCCAGGGCCGGCGACACGGTATGTTGCTGTCGGACAAAGCCATCTGCTCCTCGTGTCAGGCCCGGCGCTAACAAACGGCTCGCCGAGTGCTTTGAAGCGTGCCAATATTTGCATCAGGCTACCACACGGCACGAATATTCGGGACTGACTGATGCGCTGTTCAGCGAAAAACAAGCTTCGCGGCTTGGATAGCGGAGTTCGCACATGCGAGGGTGAGTGACTGATGCGTCAGTGAGAACGCAGCGGGCTCGAGTACAGCTGCACCGTAAACAATGGCCACCACTTCATTTATTAGTCACCACAAGTGTGGCGAAAGAGCGGCGGAGGGGGAGAACGTACTGGCACCAACTTTTTTGGAAGTTTCAATTGATCGCGATTTAAAGTAATGTGCCCAGTGCGCGCGGGAAAGGGATGTTCCATGAACACGAGCTAAGTAACGTCGCAGCTGGTCAGGTGGCAAGGGCAGCAACGCCTTCCGCAGGTGTGTCGTGTGTGGTGGCCTTACCTTCATCGCGTTGTACTCGAGGTCGGCCTCCGTCAGCTGCACCCGCGTGGCCTCCTGTCGGTTCTGGCAGTCCACCCGCTCGACGCTCAGGCGCGTCGTCTTCTCCTCGTTCTGCTGCCTGCAACAGCGCCGCAGTCACGCGCCAGCAGAGCCCGACAGCGCCGCTCGGTAGGCACCGTTATTGCAGTCGGCCACATTGTTGACAAGATTCCGCAGCTGTGCCACGGAACTTCGCGACGTTCCGCCGCCAACCAGTTAACAGGTTTGCGACGGAGAATGTAGCAACAAGACGGCGGCATCGACAGCGATGGCAGCACCGCGACGCCGACCGATTGCGAACCGCCGGCGTCGGCCGATCAGCAGCGGGGGGGGGGGGGGGGGGCAGGCCCGGGACTGGACGCCTCCGGCGACCGCAGCCCCGGCGTTCCGGCCGATTTCCTACGTCAGGGCGCGTATCGCGCCGCGCCGCCATCCATTACGCGGCGTGCGGGACGGGGACGCCGCTCCCACCGCCGCCAGGTAGAGGCGGGGTATTGATCGGCCGCGAAGCGATAGCGCACACGACGCCGGCGGCGGCCGCGGCGCAAACGGAGAGCGGGTGCCGGCGGTCGGGCGCGCCCACGGAGGGGCTCGCAGCGGGGGGCGCGGCCCAGCCCGCCGACTCCCGCCCCGTCCGGTGGTGGCACGTCCTAAGGTGATGGCTGGTGGCATTCCCAGCAAAGCCGGCCGCTCGGCAAGCTTCAGAGACGCGTGCGCTACCGCGCATTGCGGCCGCTGCCGGCACAACACCGCCAATGGGTCGAAGCCACTCTGCGGACGTTTCAAGCAAGTGTAAGAGTGACAGACGCAGACCCTAACCGGCCGGGGCGCACTGTCCCAGCCAGGCCTCTGCCTACGTAAGCGTGAAATCGAACCGTCGGCCGGCGATCGGGAACGCGTGCTCAAAGGCCGGGTCGCAGGAGAGAAGAGTCAAGTCATCGAGTGGAGCGCTGACAGCGTGAAATGGCCCCGCTGGGAGTCGGCCGCCGCCTCAGACCGCGTGATAGCGGCTGATCTCGCGACTCTTGAGATAGTGGTGGGCCGGGTGGAGGTGTCCCAGGGCTCGGCGGCGTCCGCGAGCGAGGCGTTGGTCATGTTCGTGCGACCCGCTGTGGCCCCTGCCCTCCACGCCGTCCCTACATCCCTCCAACACGACCCAATGGAATGGGACTGATGGACTCGCCAACGTGCGCTCACTTCATGGATAACGACAGGTGATTCATGTTCTGAGCGCCATAAAAAGCATATGAGGCGTGGCAGATTAACATCAGCATGAATTTTACACGCAGTGATGTCAGCTGGTCCCGCCGCAAGTCATGTTTCAGTCAGTTTCGTTACGTTTGTCTGTGCAAGTCCGCTGCTCATGTCAACGAACACGTAATCCGGGGCCCGGCTGGCTTGTAGTTCCACGACCGACAGCCACAAAGGCTTGTGTTAGACGCGGACCTAGTGAACGTATGTCGGTGTGAGCAGAGTCGCAGCTAGGGGGGGGGGGGGGGCAATGGATCTTTAACATTCTCCTCTCTGGCGAGATCGAGCGCAGATCTTTTTACCACGACACCACTGAATATAATTCCGCGATCTGGTGATCAGGGCACTCGGTTCGGTTTTGCACGCCATTGACTGCCATGCGCAGCGACAGGTCGCAACCAGGAGCAGTAATTTAGTTGCGGGGCCAGCGACTCTCTGGGCGGCCACGAACGGTACGTGGACAACTGGCTTCGGCGACAGGATAAAACGGCATTGACAGGCCATTGTTACGTTAGGCGCTGCACTTATCAGCGTGTGTGGCGTCTGTAGCCGTTAGAAGTGCGCAGGTACTGTGAATGGGGCTGAGACCCGGTCCCAAAACAACTCCTGGTTCGCGGCCCCCGCCGTAGTCAAACCTGGCTGCGCCCCTGAGTGCCCGCGGAGTGCTCGGACACTCCGGTGCTAGCTGTTCGTGTCGCACACAGCGTTTCCATTCGGCAGTTGACGGACCTAGCTGTGGGAACGGCTGGAAATCGGGTTAACGTCAACATTAGAGCTCATATATTACCCTGTATGGGACATAATATTGTCAGTGTCCGCCCATCACGCTGAGTACCAAACGACACGAGGCTGAACATCAAATTACGCTAAGTGAATGCAGATGGTAGCCCGCCCATGCTCGTTCGAGATGCGGTGGCGAAGTGAAGCGCCCCATTTTGTGCTGTCATTTGTAATGTTTATCGTAGCCAGCCAACTTTTGAAGGACAGCTGACTGAAGATGACGAAACCTAAGAGGGTTTGCGGTCAGTGCGTACCGCGTGAACTCATTCGTGTCGTGTCAGATGGCCTCTTGAGCGTTTGCAGCACTGGAGCGAGCAACACTTAAGTAAATGTTTACACTAGTAGCCGAAAAATTTTGCCATTGAGAATAGAACCAATACCGGTTGCAAAAAAATCCGAAATCTTTATTAGCCCGCAAAATGTTAACGCTCATTAAGTGTCTTATTTTTGCAGCAAATAGCGGTATAAATAATTTAACTAGCAACTAACTAGGGTGTCTCATGCGGTGTGGAACAAGCGATGCAATAACGATATGAACGATGATGATGATGATGATGATGATGATGCTAAAAGTTAAGATAATAACGTAGCCAGACGCCTTTGACAAACGATGCCAACAACTGTCATCAATGCAATTCTGAGATCTGACGTCAAGTTGCATGAACTAATTTAAGAGGTGGAGGTCCCTAAGACAGCTTTTCCGGGCCAATCCATAATAATATTCTGGGAACAAAATGACTGGACATCAGTTCGGTCAAGCCGAATAAACTCAAGTTGGCAATCGATGAATTCACAATAAATGAAATTTTTGTACCCGGGATCAAAGCACTACAAAAATACCCCCAAAATGATTAATTATCGTTCACAATCAACAGGGCTATAAGTTTGCGCAGTTGTCTTGGCCAATCTTTCGCGGTGCACGCACAGCGTCTCGTGCTCCAAATGCGTGTCGGAAAAGATGACACTGGACGCTTCCCGGTCACTTCCTGGCGGATTTGTGGGCCGAACAGCAGTGAGTTGTAGTCGGTGCATTTGCCTACACCGCGCAACTGACTCTTCGGATTTGTTTGCTCTGGTTGCTGAGATCTGACGTCAACAGAGATCTGATAACCTGATCTGATGATATGATCTGACGACCTGATCTCGCGATCTGACCTAACGATCTGGTCTGACGTCAACGGAGATCTGATCACCTGGTTTGACGATCCGATCTGACGACCTGATCTCGCGATCTGACCTAACGATCCGGTCTGACGTCAACAGAGATCTGGCGATTCGATCTCACGATTCAATCAGACGATATGATCTGACGATTTGATCAGACGATATGAGCTGACAATTTGATCTGACGATCTGATTTGACGATCTGGTCTGTCGTCAACAGAGATATGACGATTCAATCCGACGATATGATCTGACGATTTGATCTGACGATCTGATTTGGCGATCTGATTTGACGATCTTATCTGATGATCTGATCTGACGAGATCCGATCTCAAATGGCACCTGACGTTTGACGTCCTAGCCCGCGTAGATTCCTGGTTTGCACGCGAGTGTATGTGGCCATGTGTATGTACAAATACTCAATTTCGTTAATGCGATAGACCTTTTTCTCCTCAGTCAGAATATGTTAGCATCGCACTGTCGCGACGTCGGTTGGTACAGCACCTGCTGCGGCCCGTGTTCTTCAGCATCTTTGCGGTTGGGAAGTTTTACCTTTGCAATCTTAACTCATTGGGGAAGGTGAGATCGAAGGGATATTAAGATGCTGCAGGCAAAACTCATTTGTCCAGGGCACTTGCATGCTAATTCTCAGCAGCCATTTAAGGACTGAGTGCCTTGTGTTGTAGCTGAAAACCTTATGGAACCACAATCAGTAGATGTTAATGTATTAGCTTTTAGAAGACGTTACGACTCAGTCGGGTCGGGCCATCCAAGATGAAAATTAAGCCGTGGTTCAAGTTTTCCGCACTCGACACATGGTTTGCCTTACAATAAGATACAAGCGATGGACATCTGGGTTAGACATTGTTCAACTTCTGTAACATCTGGAACGAGCATTGTGAAATGAATGAAACTTTGCGAGCTTGTCTGCTTACTTAAGTGCAGGAAGGTCCGATAGAATCACCATCTCCTCGCGCATCTTCGTCATCTTCTCTCGCAGGGTCTTCATCTCATCTCTGACTTTTTCGTCCAGCGCCTCGATCTGAGAAGGTTACTCATCATTATTTACAAGCACACTCATGTCTACTCGCAGTGAGTCGGACCATGTTTTAGTGCATACGAAATACCTCATTGGAGTGCTTCTCATAAATGATGGGCTTATTTATGAATTCGAATGCCACGAAAGTGCGATGGGAACGTTCAAGCAAACTCCGTTTCATTTGCTCCATGCTAGAAAGGTCACGATAACTGGATCACAATTCATATCCTCGTTGCCAGAAACGTCACTGTATCTGGAACACCAGAAACGTGTAGCTCGCGGCTGTAGATCTACTGCCGGGGGTCATGCAAGCAACAAAAGCCTGATGCAACACCACCCTCCAGTGCGAGCCGGCTTAAAGTATAGGCCGTGCGACTATGCGGCGATTTCGTTGCCTTCGATGAAAAGCCTCTACGGTCTCTGCAGTATTGGCCATATGTCTGGCATCAACATAATTATCAGTGAACGTGAATTTTGGCACCCATAATTATCAGTGAAATTATCATAATTACCATGGTGCCAGGAAGGGTCCAGCCGCCTCCCTCATCAGACGGACCAAACCTGGTGCACCCTAAAGCCCTTGGCTAGCCCGGTACGATGGTCACTCAGCCTAGCATCAGTATTCATTATGGGACCATTCGTCTGATGAATGGCTTGAAATGCTTTCGTGCCAACAGTTGGAAGACAGAGCGTAATGGAAGTGCAAAAGTCCATACCGATACTCACACCTACACATAGAATATATACACGGATATTAACCGGTGGCATTGCCAGGTAAGCGCTGGCGGTCCGGAAAAGTTTCCCTGAGCGCCTCCTCTGCTCCGCCGACACGGCCCGACGCGGACCCCTCACCCCAGTGATGACCCCACTCCAGGTGAGAGGTCCGTGCGGCGCCGGCGCGGCGCGGCGGCCGCCACCATTAGCGCCTGCTCAGGTGGCTGTCCCGGTCCGGGCGCCCATCGCCTCCTGTCATTACGCGGTCGTCGCCGCGCCCCGGTACGCGTTAGACCAGCCGCCGCGCTCGGCGTGGGCCAGGGATTGGCGACGGCCGGCGCGCGCCAGAGTTGGCCCTGGTTTGACGCGCGCCCCGCCCGGCGAACCGTCCAGAGTTGGCCCCGGTCTGATGCGCGCCCCGCCCGGCGAGCGGTCTCCTAGGGAGGGGGGGGACGACCCAGCCGGCGACAGAGCGAGTGGGGGTGATGGGTCCCGGGGCGGCGGCGGACCGGGCGGCGTCGGTGGGTCACGGGACTGCGGCGGACCGAGCGTCCGGGTTTGGCAGCGATGGGCATCGTCTTGTTTGTCGCTCGCTGCCACCAGGGGAGAGGAGGGGGAGGGGCAGCAAAGTGCATTTATGTATATGGGGCTGTAAAGCGACGACCGTTCGACGAGCGTCACTGCCAATAAGAAAGGCCAGTGTTTACGAGCGTTACGATGAGTTCAGATGGTACACAGCCCGAAGTGGCAAGCTGTAAGCGCCGTACATTGAACGAAGTGACAGGCACGACCGTGGTCCATGTGACCCCATCCTGTTGTCTGTCGAAGCGGGTTTGTTATTGCTCCCATTCTTCCAGGTAATTGCTCACATATAATGCGAGTACAGCTGATGCTGCGTTTGATGGTCGTGCAATATCCACTTTGAGTAATTCGACTGTATATACTCACTAATGCAAGCACTGTACATGCATAAAGGAAACAAAATTAGTTGAATTGAAATGACGCCACCTTGGACTATGCCATCCCGAGCCGCAGTCCACAGCACGGTGGCGGGGTGCGCACTGGTTCCGTTACCTTCTGGTGATTGGCCTGCAGCTGCTGATGCTTAGTGGCAAGGTCGGTCAAGGTGTTCCTGGACTTGGCGGTCTCTCCTTCTTTAACCATGAGACTGTCCCTCAGCTCCCCCAGGTCCTTGGACGTGAACCTGCAGCGCACAGCGTTCTCGGCTGAGTGTTGAGCCCGCAACGTCAAACGCTCACAGCTCAGACAAAGATCGCGCGCGACAAAACCGGACAACGTTGAGAGCTGGACATGCAAAACCGACATCCAAAGGTCCAGCACTGAATCTGTGCCGCAATACTCACGCAGGCTCGACATCACGCCTGCGCCACCACACAGTCACGGGTTATGCGCTGAACCCACGCCACAGATCATCCACAGGCTGAGTACGAACCATGGTGGCGGCCAAGGTCAAGGTCAAGGTCAGTGCCCTCATGACTGAACGCTACACCGCGGCGATCCGCCAGCATCAGCTCGCGTGGGTCGAACAGCGGCACCTTCCTCGCAAGTGGACAAACTTAACCAACCTCTTCTCTGACCCGGGATGAATACTCGTCCCCCCCCCCTCCCTCAGCGCCGGCGAGATCTGCCAGCCGGCGCCGCAGGGCAGCCTGACCCCTGACCCCTCCCGGCGGCCTCCGTCTGCGGTCCTGCGCCCGAGTCCACCACTCACGAGGGCAGGTGGCGCACGTGGCCCAGATTCTTGCTGATGGTCTCCAGTGTGCGCAACACCTCCACCTCGGCCTGCGCCACCCCCTGCGTCTCGGTCGCCTTCGTCTCGTCGTAATTCAGCAGGAACTCCTGCATCTCCTCCTCCCGCCTCCGCAGCTCGCGGTACTTTAGGTTGCGGTCCGAGTTGCTGTCCTCCAGGTCCTACGGCAGTGGCGAATCGAGGCATTTGTTGCAGCTGTCTTTCGGGAAAATGCTGCGAGCGTCCACGCCAGAACACACCGTAGCTGAAGTAGGGCTATCGGTGCGAGGCAAATCACGACATGGTGCTATGTTCCGTACCTTGTCACACAATTCGGCCCCAGAGAATTCTGACAAGCGTGTCATTGCAGCCCGGCCATATCGCATCACTGCGCTGAGCTGGTTGGTGGCACGTGCTGCAATCGTGGTCTCTCAGCCCCCACCCCCGTCGGCAAGGAACAAGCGTAGCAACTCTCTCACTGTTTTCTATGCCGCAGCTATTGCCTTTTTATGGTGGCACCACACTTGGATGTGCAACAAACGAGCAACAAAAAGTGTCTCAACCGGCTAGCGTGAAGGGGGCTATTTGTACCAGGAGAAGAACAAATTGTTCGCATACATGATAGGCAGAACATTCACTTTTCTCCAAAATGCTACATGATTTAGAGGGAACAAAGTCATCTCCCCTCCCCCTTCCACCCCTGGTCGCCGGGCTTGCCTCACGAATGGCAGGTCTTTAAAATACACCCTGCGATCAGTGGACTGCGCTTAGCTGCAGCAGCCGTCAGCGACTCGAAGGGCTGGCCCGCCGTGCACCCGAGCCATGCGGCACAGTCTACCAGTAGTGATGTCGTCGTGTTAGGACGCGAGGTTAGATGGAGGGTGACGCCAGCCGGCGCCAACAGGTCAGAGACCGCCTTCACTGGAGAATGGGTAATTTCGGGGTAAGAGGTTGACGTTATATAAAGAACGCCACGGTCTACAAAAATGTACGGCACCGAAAAGAAGAATGTCACTCTACCGAATGTTATGAAAAAGAGGACACGGCGGCAAATCTGCCTTTTTTTCTCATGCTGGCGTTTTTCCTTCTTCTACTGACGTATTTTTTACAGGCAGCTCAGTTGGCGTATTGTGCACTGGGGCAAGGAACCTTTCATGGGCTTAAAGGCAACGAAGGGATTATGAAATTTGGAAAATGATATGGTAATTTGACACATTTTAAAAAGTAAGAGCTCTTAAATTGCATTATCATGAGCCCCCGCTAAGGGTGTGTTTTGTAGGGAACTCGCGGTAAAATGCGGTGTTATAACCGAAAACCTACGCAGCAATTGTGAGAAAACCTGCAATTCGATAGTCCCGCGGGCTGTGCAAGCGTGGAATCACATCTTTTTGAAATTTGTGTGTGAACCAGGCGCTTGAAATGGGTGTGGTCACCGGTAGTGTTTGCCAGCGGATTGTATTTATCTAAACGTGATGGGAAGTGTGCGTACGAGGTATGCACTGCAGAGAGAGAATATTGCTTTGGTATTATTCAAGGGTAATTACTCCCAATAAAATGTGATATGTCGATATCTGCCTGTATCTTTTTGTTTGCATTTAAACATGGTAGTGTGAGGTGATGCCAACAAATCATAAGCCAAATCAAGTTATTTTGCAATTAAACCATTGAAATGGAACCAGTCAGGTATGTCATTGCATCACTACTAGGGAATATGGTAATCTCTGTCCTGCTGTAAGAAGTGTGGCCATCTGTATGTTGATAAACAAATTTAGAGATATTTTTGTTGGAGGTAAGTGCCCATACGGACTCATCTATATTGGTCAAAAGGCTTGAGCTATTCTGGAGCCCGAAAATTCATTTCAAAATAAGCACAGAGTTCCATCTTACAATGGGACTTTTCTTTTATGCCGTCCAAACCAGATACATTGCTTTTGTCAGTTCGCTGGTCACCACATACATTTACATCCACTCATTTTTGTGTTGACAGCATGTTGCTACAACTCTGAAACTGGGACAAGCAAAAAGGTGAATTGTATAGCAGTAAGAATCGGCTTGCATTTCGTTTTCAAATGCTACGCCTGCGTGCGTGGACGCATGCCCTAGTAATACGCATGGTAAGGCGGTGTAAGTATGGTAAGGCGGTGTCTTACCTATGCTCTTCCCACAACGGAACGTAAGAATCATGAGGTGCAAGGACTGCATAACAACTTGGCTGGGACAACATTGGGGCATCCTTGGTTTCATTTCCCATCTCAAATGGTTGAAACCTCACTCGCAATGCACGAGTGCAATGCCGTGGTCGAAAAAACGTCAGCATGAGCTAGTTTCTTTATCCGACATAACATTTGTCCTCTTTTTACACCTATGATGCAGTGCTGCGCCAGAAGCTGTCTTACAGAGAGCTTTATAATACTCAAACGGCCCCGTTGCCTACTTTCTCGTGACGTATTTTCCGTGTTGTTTTTTTATCAGACCGCCTATAATATTCAGTGACGTAAAATTGAAAAAAGAGCGTCGACGGCGTTCTTATTTTTCGTAGCATTCGCTAAGGGTCGTGTTTTCGTAAATGCGTAAGGGAAACTACGCTAAAAATACTATAAATATGACGAGCAGGAAGAAATGGGTCAGCCCTTTCCTAAAGCGCACAAAACTACGTTCTTCGTTCAAAATTTGACCAATTTCCTTTCCGAAGTTGAGAGAGCTTGGACCCACCAACAAAAAAGGAAGCTATACCCCAGTTTTGGTGTGTGGGCTTAGTCAATCAACTAAAACTAAACTGAGGAAGAACGTTCATCACGTCACTAAATTACGCAGGTGGTCGTGCTTTCCGACATGATTGGGGCCTGCCGTGGGCCCGACATCCTAACCACGAGACCCTTATTTCTCACCTTATTTAGCCCGCTTTATGTTTGCGAACGTCACTTTTTCTTTTGAATTCGTGCACCATTATAAAGCAATCCTTGCTTGGCAGCATAGTCCTCAGAGTCACCAAATAATCTCCAAAGAAGGCAGCCTTTTTGTGATACTTTCTGTGTTCCCCAGTTTCATAATTCAGCACAAAAAAAGGTTCTGGAGTTCACATTTCCTGGTGTCTCTCCCCAAAAACCATTAGAAAGCACAAATCAATATTAAGGACGCTAGAATCATCACAGAAATTTACACAGACACCTCGTCAATTACTTACCCATATTGCAACCCAAGCAAAAACGATCTTCTATCCCAAACTTCGTCTGGAAGATCCCTAAAAAGAACATGAACAGTGCGGAAGAAAAAGCCGTCGCTAATGCACCACGGGGGCCCACACATCGAAGTCAACCGTCAGCAAGACTCACGTTCTCAGTTATCTGCAGCTCTTCTGAGGCTTTTCCAATTTCGGACTTAAGCTCGTGAATGCGGCGTTCCAGAGTTCCCATCTCCTGGTTATCTGCCTTCACCTGTAAAAGTCAGACCATAAGAGGAAACAATGCGAGAAGCGGCAGCGGTAAATGAGGGTTTGCGAGTCAGCCTTGGTGCACCACTACCATTAGTTGGGCAATGCAGCCGCATCCCCACATTTCAGAAGAAGAGCATGAAGTCTCCGGCGTTGCATAGAAATGATGCACTAAAAATGTAATTTGCATTCCCCAACACTGTTGTTAAGCCTCAAATATCTGGAGTTAACACCGAATGGGTGCAAAAACGCCAGAAAAGTGGAGGAAAGAGTGAATCTCATCACCCACTCAGCTCCTTCCATGAATCAGTGTAGGGTTAATGTAAAACTTCCACTGAATATGTACGTGTGGGGGAAGGGCGCGGTGTCAACCAGTCCCCATCCTTCCCCCAATTCCTACGACCATGGCAGCAGCAGCCGTCATGGCGGTGAGTCCGCTCCGGCGAGCAGAGCGGGGCGTCAGAGGAAGACTGAGTGAGCGGGCAGGAGAGGCCGGCATGATATGACAACAGCAGATGGAGGGCGGCGGTGGTAAGGTGCTTAGCGCGGACACAGCACAACGGGCAGAAGAAATGTCTGCAGCTGCCGGCGACAGATGCAGCGCGAAAGCCGCCGGCAGCGGACGAGTAGTGGGCGGCCAGCAGGCGGCAGCCAGCTGTTAAGAGCAGACGAACCATCCTGTTTGCGAGCCTGATGTGCGGCCAGTTCCCCAAAGTTGACCAAGGTGGCGCAGCGTCGGCAGCAGACGGCCCATCTGATGGCCCAGACAGACCGGAGAGACGCCGAATCAGCCGCGGATGGAGCAGCCGTCCCTGCTGCCGACAGCCGGCGCTTTGATTGGCCGAGCACGCCGCCAATTAATCCTCAATTTCAGGCCTAATGAACACGACGTCGGGCGCCGCCCTCGCATGTCATTAGCTCCGCGCCTGCATCTGTGATGCGTGATGCGGCCTGCTTGGCTGCCAACCGTCCAGCATCTGCCGGTGTCGCGATCTCGCGATCATCTGGCGGCGTCGCGACCTCGCAATCATCTGGAGGCGTCACGATTTTCCGACCATCTGGCGGCGTCGCGATCTCGCGATCACCTGGCGGCGTCGCGATCTCGCGATCATCTGGCGGCGTCGTCATCTTGCGATCATCTGCCGGCGTTGCCATCTCGCGATCATCTGGCGGCGTCCCGATCCGCCCTCTGACGTCACGACCGAGCGCAACGTCCATCGGCGCGGCGGCTTATCATGAAAACCGAGACTTTATGAGACACGTCAAAGTCGCCGGCAGCTGCGACTCACGGGGTGCGACCCCACTGCCCTTTCAACGGGGCCAGGAGCACGTGCTCTTTTACCTCGGCCTCGCACACAAGTGTGCGGAGAGGGAGGCAAGCTGCAGTGTGGAGTCGCCGCCGTGCTTGGCTTTTGCTGTGGAGTTCGGTGATAGCATCCCACCCCTCTCTCTAAGCTAGTCAAAACCTAGCATTTGCTCCTCCAACCGCGAAAGACAATCTAGCGTTCGTTAAGCCGTAATATATGGAAAAAACCTGGTCAGAACGCATTCTGATCCCACCCTCTCCCCACCCGCCTCCAACTTCTGTAAGTTCCCGCGCCCCTGCGCGCAGGTAACCTTAAGCGCCCCGCTCAGCCGTGGCTGCTCTAGGAGCCTCCTCTGCTCCAGCCTCATCGGTTTCAGGAGCCGTTCCCCTCTCCTGCCTCGCCCTTATCAGAATCCGTCCCCCCCCCCGCCCCCCAGTCTCACCTGCTGCAGGAGGCGCTCCCGCTCCTGTTCGGGAGTCTCGCGCGAGTTCTTCTCGTCCAGCAGCTCCATCCTCTTCGTCTCCAAGTAGCTGAGCTTGTCGTACTGCACGGCCGCTTCCTGCTTCAGCTGGAGATGGGCCCGACGCGGTTACGACCGCGGCCCGAGACCGCTACGACGCGACTCCCGGACGGTTACGACACGATCTTCACCGAACGTCTTTCGGCGGGGTCCGTAGTAACGCGGAAATGCCGGCCCCCGAGCAGCGCGAGCACGCCCGGGGAGCGACCCGCCGCGAGCAGCGAGCCGATGGGCGGCCGCAGTGGGCCGGGCTACGGCTGAGATTGGCACCACGGTGGGAGTAAGGCCTCACCGCGCCGGCAGCACTGACATGGATGCCAAGGCGGACAAAAGAGCACTTAAGAAGCAGTGGGGAAGGTTTACAGAGACTTGAGTGGAAGCAAAAGGCAGGAAAGGAATGGCATAAAGGTTAAGTACGCTGCTGTGTGCTGTTATGTGGCAGAGCACGACATATGACCGGGATTTCCACTCAAGTTGAATCCAAGCTATGGAACAAATGTGTTTGCTTTCATATAAATTAACGCTTTACGCACAGATGCTCTTTATGTCCACCGGTTCTTTAACAAAGCACCAGCCACATTTCCGTCTCAGTGACGCTTTACGGCGTCCCAGAATGAACCCAGCCGTGTCTGCCAGCAGCCCCTCCCCGCTCCGCCGGTAATCCGGCCGGCAGCGGAAGCTCCGGCTCGGTACTTAGCCGGCCGTCTCGGCGCCGCCGGGCCGGCGCTGCTTGACTGCCGCACGCACGCCGCTTGACCGTCGGATGGGCCGGCCTGAGGGTGCTCAGACAGGCCCTGGCCGGTGCTTGGCCGGCCGGGAGAGCGCCGCCGGTCGGCTGAGGACGCTTCCGACGGTCTGGTCCCACGGCGGCGTCACGGGGTCAGGGGGGTGGGGAGTGGTGGTCCGGCGCCGGGGTGGAAGGTCACTTCTGTGGGGGGGGGGGTCTGCCGATTTTGGTACGCGGACGCTTGCGTCTGGAGTCAGTAAAGCGCAGGGAGTCCATACGGCGGGAAAGCTGGACGCAAAGCACACCTACCCACCGTCAAAGGCACGTGACAAGCGCTGTCCGATGAGCCCACCTGGTTGGCACAGTTCGGGACCTCTCCCCTTGATGTTGCTGCTCGGCCGAAGAACGGGGAGGGCTGGCCGTTCTGAGCCGGTTCCGGGCGGTGCTCTGCCGCATCCGGCAGGGGAGAGGGCGGGTAAGGGGGCAGGGACGGACGTACCGGCGAGGCGGCCAGGTCGGCGTCCAGCTCGTTCTTCCTGGCGCCGAGCGCGTCCGCCTGCTGCTGGGCGTGCTCGATGGCCGTCTGCAGCTGCACGTTCCGCTCTTGCAGCCGCATGTAGCGGTCCCGCACCTCGCCGGGCATCGAATCCACCAGCGTGTCGGCCAGCCGCCGCTCCTAGCGGCGGCAGGGCAGGCGGGCAAGGCCGGTCAGAGCGGGCGGCATAGGTGGTCAGGAACGGGTGGTAAGCGGTCTGGGTGGCGGGGTGGGGGGCGGGTCAGGGAGGGGAAGGGGAGGCCAGAAGCCGGGTGGTCGGGGGGGGGGGGGGTCCAGGATCGTTCGTCACGGAAGGACGGATTGGTCGGGGGCTACCAGTCCTGAGCAGCACCGTTCTGAAGCGGGGCTGTGGTCTCGGTCAGATTAGAGTAGGGGGGGGGGGGGGCGTTAGAAGCTGGCGTGTGTCAAATCTCACCCCGTGAGTGTCATTCACGGTTCTGGTCGCTCGCACGTTTGGGTGGTTTGAGTCCATCGGCAGAGGTCAGGAGCTGTTAAAAGGAACTGTCGAGTGATGACAGCATCAGACGGCAGGGTTAATTGTCATCAGAGAAGAGAAAACACGATCAGGTATACTAGATGTCAGGCTTCGACATGATCAGATAAACATCAGGATACAGGCCAATGCAATATACCAGACACAACATTCGTCGTTCAATCTTTCCTTCTTGATTTACAGTAATAAACACCAACGTCGCCTCTTCTGCTTGCAAACATCTTGTGCAATGTGAAGCGTTGGTCGCATCTAAACCCACCTGATCAATTTGGTTCTCGACGTCGTGTATCTCGTTTTCTTTTTCCTTGCGATTCATGAACAGTTTCTCAACAAGAAGTGCTTCCTTTCCGTTTCTAAGAAGGTAGACAGATGGGTGTGTTAGTAGTAAACAATCGCTCAATGTCATCTATGACGAACGCTCGGTCATTCTATACCACGGCCATTCGACGACTGAGGCTGGCTTTCATATTCAGGAGTTCGTGTTCAGACAGTGCGAACGGGTGTCGGCATTACAATTTAAGATAAGATTCATGATTCCAAGAACGCCGAAAGGAAAATCTCTGTCCATGAACATTTAACAGGCCGGGGAGCTCGTCCAAGCTCGAAGTGTCTTTGAACACAAAACGTCAGCGTTGTTGTCTTAAACTTCTTGGAATGTCTGACTACAGCGAGGCAGGCCCCGGCCAGCACAATAATATTCTCCCTGTCGACCCTCTTCAGCCACAGGCGTCTTCTGCTCGCTCTCACATCACGCCCAGTTCTCCGGGGCCTGGCCTGGAGAGCCGGCCGCCACGCACTCACCTGTGCCTCAGCTCCTCAAACTCCCCGTCCACTACCGACCGGTCCGAGTCCATGTTCATCAGCTCCACCAGCACGTTGTAGTCAGCCAGCTCCGCCTGATGCTCTGCGCGACAGGGAACCGACCGGATTACGTCACTGGTGCTGCTCCTCGCCCTCGCCCCCCTCCGCTGACACGGCTGGGCTGGCGTCGCGGACGTTACGGATCTCCTTCAAACATGGAACGGCAACTGTGCAGTCTGCCTGACCGGCCTGGAGGCTATCAAAAAGCTCGACAGCGCTCAAGCGGAATCCAAGAACTAAGTCCAGACAGTCCCGACGCTATGTAAAACTTGGCAGCACTCAAAGCGAGCCCTACTCAACGCACCTAGCGATGGCTGGCACGGCCACCGTGAGCCGGTCACGTGACTCGCCAGTCTGCTGGCCCGCGGTAACGGCCCCACCCTGCCCACCACACCCACCGAGCAGCTCGCCGGCCATCTCCTTGACGCGCGTGTCGTAGGTGGTGTAGGTGGCCTGCTCCTGGTTCAGCGAGTCCGCCTGGCGCCGCAGCTTGGCCACCTCGGAGCGCAGTTCGGACGTCTTGGTGCGCAGCAGGCCCTGCCGCCGGCACACGCGAGCACCGGTGACGTCACACCGCCGACGCAGCGCGTCATACACGGCAATCTTTTGTCAGCTCCACCAATCCACTGTTCTCGGCCGGCTCGGCCCGGACCCTGCGGGACGGCCACCACGGCAGGCCCGGCCGCCGGCACATGCTAGCGTCGCATGTCACAATGACGTCACATCTCATCACGTCACTTCACGGCGGATGGTGCCACTGCCATCCCAGCGAGACCCGGCACCAAGACGCCACGTGTGCCGGTGGACTACTACGTGAGCCAAATTTCCGCGCTCCATGGATTCCCGTCACCCTCAACTCTCAGGTCAATGAATCGAAAGTAAGACATTAAAGTTGGAATCGACGCTAAGAATATGACGTTGCATGACGAAACATTCTGTCTCTGCGACTTGTTTTATGGCCTTGTTGTACTGTAATTACCACTCCATTCTACAGAAGTGTCGACCACGGGTATTTCATCGACTTCTACTTCACCCAAACGGAACCAATGAACACGCTGGGCTAACCTCAAGAGACCAATCATGATATGCCACTCAAACGATTTGGCAAGAAGGTACGTACGGAACGGTTGATCAATAAGATACATACAGCATCGTAACTTTACCATTTAGAAACATGGTATTACTTCCTCCTTTATTTCGCGTGCAGGTCCGCTATTTCCATCCCACAAGCTATCAATCCATCGCTGAATGATTAACAAAATTTTCAACTGGATGTGCGCGTGGATCCCTCAAAACATATGCAGTGATTCAGGATCCAGATCCTGTCAATGGAGCACCATATGGGCCCGGAATCCAGTCTTGTAATGCACGTTCACGTCAGCGCTTCGAAGCACCACCCGGGCACCCCCTCTCCGCTCTCCTCCCCTCACCATGAAGTAGCTCTTGTCCTGACCATGCGCGAGCGGCCGCTGCCGGCCGTCTTGATGCCGGAGAGACCCTGCTGGGTGATGGGCCGGCTCATCACCCGGATCTTCTCCATGGAGCCGGTGACGGGGCGGCCCGAGCCCATGCGCGACATGGAGGCGCGTGACGCCGGCGCCTGCGTGGCCGGCCGGAACCCGGTGCCGGGCGGGCCGCCCACGGCGCCTGAGAACGGGCGGCCAGAGGTGCCCGGGCGGCCGTCCTGGCCGTCGCCGGGCAGGCCGTCACGGCTGGGTGGAGGCTGCACAGATGCGACGCTCAGACAGGTCGCAAACGGTCTCCTAAAGGAGGCAAAAGGCTGCGCGCCTGAACTTAAATACATCGCTGAATGCCAAACGCTTGCATTTTGCATGCGCTTCATTTATGTTGCGAGTCAACCAGTGCATACTTGGACAGTTTTTACTCGGTGAGTTATCTCACAAAAGGCGGAGATACGACCGCGGGCTCTGGCCGAAGCTCCGTTCATCACTCACCAAGTACTCCCTCGCACTCTCACCGGCACTCTGGCCGAGGCCGAGGCGTCACTCACCCACTGTGCGTTCTCGCTGAAGGACCGGCTGTCCTGGCCCAGCGCGCCGGACACTGGCCGAGACACGCCCGTCATGGGCCGCGAGGCGCCGGCCGACATGCTCTGGAACGAGACGGGCATGGCTGCAGTGCCGGCGGACCCTCTCCCCACCGCGGCCGGCGGCTCTGCTCCGCCGGCCGGCGCGCACCTGGTCGCGCCCACGCCGCCGCCGCACTGCCACGGCTACCGCCCACAACACGGCCGACGTGTCCCGGCGGCGCCGTCTCGCCCACATACCACGGACGTTGCGACGATACATGCAAACGCGTGGTTCGATCAGCGGTCCACCGCGTGACACAAACAGCATGAAAAAACTAAACTTAGTGCCTTTCACGGCGACTCGAAGTACAAATGTGGAACCGATGGGAAAACATGTTTTCGGCCGCATTTGCTGTATGCATACGCGGTGCAAGCACCTAATAGGTGGTAGTGAGGTCGCTCAGCCATAATAGCTTTCTATAATGTACGCACACGCGTCCTGATTTACCAGAACGACGTTCACTTGCAGCAAAGAACATGAACGTTTTGGCTAGCGTAGACAGATAAGTCGGCGTAGCATGTGGTTGTTCTTTTGTATCTACACACACATAAAATTGCCACAAACACACTACTAGCGATATTCGACGTGTTGCCCGAAGTCACAGTGAGATATCAAACGCATCGTGATGAACTGTATATACCTGCATGTACACTTGTAAACAAGCTAGATGTCGAAAATCATTCGGGCAACTGTGCAGCTTTTCAGCTTTTCTCTCGAGTCAGCGTTCTAAAAGTACCTAAATTATCGGCACGGACCCACGACGAACTGACTCTCTGGAATCGACGAACCACGACAACGAACTGACTCTCTGGAATCCATGTGAACTATCAACCGTGTTCCGGCTTCCTCGCCGCAGTTGCGAGAGATTGAAACGTCGTGCACGGCACTCAGAACACCCCTCAGTCGACCGTGGCCCGCCTGACCCGACCCGACCTGACCTGGAGTCCGGAGGGCGGCCTGGAGAGGCCGGTCATGGGCCGCGAGCCGCCCAGAGACCTGCTCTCGCCGACGCCGGTGGCGGGTCGGCTGCGTGCCGCGCCCGTCTGTGGCCGGTCCAGGTCCGAGGCCGGCCGCACGGCTGAGGTGGACGGCCGGCCGACGGGGCGTCCACGCCGGCGACGAAACCCGACGCCGGTCTGGCGGACGCAGGCCGCCGCCCGGTCAGCATTTATGTTGCATTGGTGTTAGCTGACATTCCACATACATACGTGTCATACGTGTCCACATACGTGTCATTAGTCTGACAGACAAAGCGGTATGTCAAGAAACAACGGAAAGTGATAAGGGATAATGAACGCACAAATGTATGCGCGCATAAGCAGAATGAGACTTCCTTATCGCACACAAAGGACCTGGCAGCGCGCTTAAAACGTACTGAGTTCAGTTGTCGAACATCCACAGGCAACTCATTAATGAGAGACGCCGCTCGGCGTGCAAATAACCGCTGTCCTGCCGCCGTGCGCACCGTCGGGGGGGGGGGGGGGCGCAGGTTATGGTCCACGCGAGTAGTTCGGTCACTAGCCCGCGCTCAGCATATGTTTGAAGCAAACAGGCGGGAGCCTCAGGTCCACCTCGCTCACGGGCTTTGTGTGCAGCGATAACAGCTGATAACAGCCAGCGGATCGTGGGTGGAGAGCGTCGGTGATGTATGTGTGTCTGCGCAGGCGTGCCCTCTGAGGCCTGCAGGCACGATGTGCATTGGGACACTATTAAACACAGTTTCTAGCATTGGTGCTTGCGTATGCGTGCGTGCTGGTAAGCGCGGCCATGCGGCTTGCAGCCCACTCCCCGCAATCTTACCAACATTTCGGGTGCATGGTGGTTCCATAGTTTTCATGAGATCAGGTGCGATGAGCATGGCTGCTTTGAGGGAAATCTGTGATGCTTCGCAAGATTGCGCAGTTTGAGCCACGTTTAAGTATTGTGCAGGGGATTGTGATGAGCAACATGTGACTGTTTGGGTGAACATGTGTTGACCGGCATGTACAATGTACGGATTTTGGCTCTGTGCCTCACAAATGTCACCATCGAATGCCACCATGCCTCCATCGAACGTAAATTGACAATTCAGAACAAACAGCCTCGCTTCGGTAAACCATCACCCAAGGCTGTTGGACTGATGGCAGTGATACCTGTCCATGAAACAAAATTTTGTAGTATGCAATACTTTTATGCTTCCGACAGCTATGATGTTTCCGAGTCACAATAGCTACACGCATAACACTGTTCCGATAAGGTGTATACCGTTCGAATGAAGCAATGCTGGCTGATTTTGGTGAAACAGTGCGCACAACAGCAGTAAACAGTGATCAAATATTATTTAAGCGATATCTATAAAAAGGCAGTGACTTATTCAGTCTTTCAAATTCAATTCCTGCAAGAAAGAGCAGCATTGCGTGATGCGTAATTGGGTGAGAAGCACCGTTCGAGTTTGGAGTATGCCACGGTCAGCGCCTTTGATATAGTCTTGTATTTAAGTTGTTGAGGGAAATTGCTTTTGTCAATTCTATGCGGCTGATCTGTGCTCGTTTCAGTCTGAACCAACCTAGGGTTATCCAACTTTAAGACGCCTTGGTCGAAACTCGGGCAGATCACCACAGCGCGTCTCGACGCCAGACCCGGCCACCGCCTCATTGGGTGATCATCTGCACGCGCCGGTGGCGTCCGATGGTTGAACCGAAATTTAATGCAACTTTTCTCGAAAACGGTGTTGGCTAATACACATCTTAGGTGGTGTTCGGCCAGTGGCGTTTTACGCAATAAATTCAGGCTTAGATTCACGTGAGCAGTACTGCTGAACAAAGTCCCAACCGAGGGAGCTCGATGACCTGCCCCCTTACGAGTAAGCAACAACGAAAAGTAGCATTTTTACTCCGCTTACTTACATCGTGGCAAGCACTGGCCCGATGCCTCATTTCTCTCGCTGGTAATGTTTTATCTTAGGCATTCATTCTTCAGCATCTTTGGGCCGAACGCAAGCAAATGGTGTTTAGAAAGATGCGCCGGTGTCGCGTCGCACTGGAATGTGGCTACTGCATATGTTGCGACCACGCGCGGAAAATAGTTGGAGTACGTTAGGTTTATGAAACTGCGTCGTAATTCAAAGTGTCTCCAGCCCCTATGCATTGTCAGTATTATCTATCAGCTATGCACAATCACAACTACCAGCTATGTACCAAAACAAGGCAAAAAACAGGTAGGGATATCATGTAGGCAAGCTTCAAGGTCACATCCCTCTCAAAACAGAGAAGA